TGTGTGAGCATCCTGATTACCAGTGTTTTGAACTCTGCATTGGATAGATTGTCTATCTCCTTGCCACTTAGTCCTTTTTCTGGAGTTTTGATCTATTCTTTCATTCGGGCCATAATTCTTTATCTCACCACACCTTTTATACTGTGAGGGGCAGAGCCTTAGGTATTGGCCAGGGTGGGCAATCACATTACTGCATTGTGGTGCTGTATGTGAGGGAGGGGTCCGAGAGGGAACGTTGCCACTTGCTTGGCTCTCACCCCACTTTCCATCATTTCCCTCACTTTTCACAAGCAGATTGTGCCCTTCTGGTGCTGATTTCCAGGTGCGTGGGTTTGCATACATTCTAGGACCCTGTGGGTCTCCTCAGTGAACTCTCCCGTGAGGTTGGGAGTTTCCCCCACCAGTGCAGTCCCCACAGGTTTGTACAGCCAGGGGTTTTAAGGCTCCATTTCCCTGTGCTGGAACCCTGGATTGTGTGGTTTGTCTTGCTCCCCAGTTGTTCCTCCTGGCTTATCTGTATGCGAACGCCGGGAATCCCGTCCACCAGCCACCGCCTGGCCCACCCCGGTCCACCTCCACCTTGCCGCACGTCCTCTCCACCCTGGCTGCCCATCTCCGCCTCTCCTTCTGGTCAGGATGAATGTTTCTCTTTTAACTCCTAGGTTGTTAGACTTTCATGCAGTTTGATTTTCTGACAGTTCTGGTTTTTTGTTTTTAAATTGGTTGTTGTCCTTCTTTTGATTGTACAATAAAGGGAAGCATTTCTACCTACACCTCCATCTTGACCAGAACTTGAGAGCTGAAGATTGAGTTCACTCCAGCACTGAGTACAGTGCCAAGCATGTGGGAAAAGTCCAGAAATACATACAGTAGGAAGAGAAAGAACAAAACCAACCCGGCAATAGTGAGTGGGGTTTTTGCTGTGCTTTTCGGAAAAACTTTGATAACTGTATAAATCCACAAACACTCTCCTTTCTCTTATGTAAAGCATAGATGATTATCAACCATATTGTAAATGAGAAAGACCATGGCCCTTTATCTTTCACCCTAGTCTATTAAGAAAAGGATTTTCCATTTTCTTTTGCTGTGAGCACTCCCAAGGCCTCTGGCCACTTTATCTTCCTGCTGATACAGACCTCCACTGCAGCCCCAGTGAACTGGGCCCCATGCTCCTCACAGAGCAAAGTCCGGGCTCCCTCCACCTTAGATAGTATCACTCAGACCTAAAGAGGATCATACACACTTTGTTTGGCATTAAAAACACAGGGTTTTCCAGGTGTCAACAGTGTGTAACAGTGTGCTTTCCAACTGTAGATGTCAGTTGTTAGACCCTTAAAAGGGCACCCAACTGGTGACAGTGACACTGGTCACTGAGGACAAGGAGAGTTCAACTCCCACAGAGAAGGAAATTGGCAGTAAGCCCTGTAAAGAACTGGGGTGCAGCCTGAAAGGGAAGGGCTGAAAGGGCTAATCAACTATCTAGTGAGTCATTCACTCGGTGCCTCTTTATCTGGTTTCTTCTGTCCCTGGGGCACTGGGCTCAATCCTAGAGGTATGGTGGCCATCCAGAAATGCACGCTCCTGCTCCCAGAGGCAGCACCTATTGAGAGTCACATTTCGGACAACACAACTCTGGGCTTCCCCTACTGTCAGGAAATAGACTGTTCCTGGGAAACCGTGTGTGAGCCTAAAGGGCATAAAGCAGAGGAGCAGTTACCTCAGGACTGCTTGCCAACATATGCACAAGATGTAAATCAAGACCAAGCCCAGGTGCTCACAGACACAGCTCAGAGCTCTGTGACGCAGAGAGATGCTGAGCGTGGATCCCCGGGAAGGAGCATGATGGGCGCTCTCACTGCTCTGGGAGCTGCTTCCAAAATCCTCATGGCAAAACAAATAGCGATGCTATTTTTGGTCTCTGCCTTTTTCTGTAAAAGTCAAAAACTTCAGATTTGTTTCGGTTATTGAAAACAGGTACTAATGGTGGTCTTTTATAAAAACCACCATTTTAGAGTGGCCTAACACAAAGTTTTGAAAGTGGGGGATACTTGTAATGTATTCATTGTGCTGAAGAGTAACAGCCACAAAAAACAAAGACACCTGGCAGTGCAAAGCTAGGGAGCCTACCCAGTCTTGGTGCTCAGGCAAGGTTCCCTGCACAAGTAACAGCCTGTCCCGCGGCCCTGCCCCAGGTAAGAGCAGTCAGAGATCAATGGAGAGTTTGGGACTCCAGAGCAAAGGAAAGTAGGCCCAGGATCATAAGAAGAGGCTGGAGAAGGAGGAAGAAGGGACCAGACTGTACTGGTGGGCCCAACTGGAATGCCACCGCAGGAGTCCAAGCAGGTGACAGTGCTCAAGCAAGGACTGGAGAGAGGGCAATGAAGTGGACTCAGTGTGTGGACAACGATAAAGCAGCAGGGACCCACAATGACTCAGTGCAGATTTATTGAGCTCCTTCTCTAAGCAGCTCTGTGCTGCTACCCGAGTGCACTGTGAATAGCAAATCGACACAGCATCCCAATCAGGAGGATGCGCGGCGTGCTGCTGTCTTCAGCCAGGCAGTTTACAAGGCAGCAGGCCCTGAGGGAGAAACAGAATCGTCAGGAAGGTAAATTTTGGATGTCATATTCGAAAGGCCCTTTGAGACCTCCCAGTGGAGATATTGAGGAGGTCAGGAACTCAGAAGGGAGGCCCCTCTGGTGATTGAAAGGCAGGTGTCCTTGGAATTAGGATAAATGTTGAAGCTAAGACAGTGAGTAAGATCCCTGTTGTTACATAAAGCTTACGACTACTCAGCCCACATCTCAGCAGAATTCAGAGCAACAACACTGAGATGTGTATCAGAAATTATTATTTAAAACACCGGAATGTTTCCTCACCACAGGATTCCAAGCAAGGCTAACCAGTCCACAATAGGCTAACCAATCCTATTCCAGGGAAGTAAATGATGTAGTAGGTGTTATAACGAGAAAATAAAGCAGACTAGCAAAAATGGCCGATATATTGGAATCTGGGGCTGGGGGTTAATCTCTCAAAAAATCCAAAATGGATTTATAAAATTTTGAATAGTTTACTTTCAGCAACACATACACGTTTGCCAATGTTAGTGATTTCAAGAAGGGAAGAAAGGCTCCTTCGCTTGTCATTTTATTTTCAGGATTTGTGTCTGCCGAGTAGAGAAGAATGTTCTATTTGCTTCAGAAATGCACATAGATTCCAAGCCATTTGGCTCAAGAGATGGTTTAAATAGGAATAAATGTAATATACCTTTAATTCTCTGAAATGAGAGAGAACTCCAGCTGGGGTTTGGTCCAGGGCAAAGTCTGCTCTTGACACTGAAGAAAATCTATCACATTAATCCCAGCAGCTCAGAGTCCAAAGCTGCGTGAACAGAATGCTGAAGTGTGAGAAGAATACCTTGAAAGAAACTTTTAAAACCAAATGACTGTTTGAAGAATACCAGGCCTTATGTGGAATTGTGCAACCCTTAAGGATGGGGATAAATAATTATGCCTGAGAAACAGCTAATTACAAATAATTCAAAGCATGAAAAGAAAAGCAAACTATAAAATAACTCTCTACTCCAGTGTTAATGTGAGATATCTCATAATGAAATAGTAGGGGTTTTTTTTAATTTCACTAATCTCCTTTCACTGGCGTAAAAGAGATGCAAAGGAAAATTATATTGCCAGAAAATTCCAGTTAGATTTGCTAAAGATGTTATCATTCACTATATTTAAAACAAAAATCTAATTGCTGTAATTTATCATACCTCTGGTTATTAAAACCATACTAATTTAAAGATTTTAATCATTTGCCATTTTGCGCATTGTGACTTCTTATAGGAGACATTATGAAAAATTCTGATTTGTATTTTTAGCCTTTGTATGATTCTTTTAGGAACTCCTAAGTTAACATGCTTTAAACATATAATTGTGTTTACATCAGTAATAAAAGTTCCTTGTGTTTTCCTTTTAGTTTGTTCAATGAAATATATGGACCCACTTTATAACTGCTGAGATATTATAAATGTGTGAGAGCACAGGCTGCTGAATCCGTTTGAATCCCTATTCACGCATCTAGCTTTGTAGAGAGCAGGGCAGACCCCACCCTTCCATTCGGATTAGAGGGAGGATTCTCTTCACGATTGGAGAAATTTAAAAGGAAAGATTCTACTGACTTAGGTGTGAAATTTGCTCCTTGGTCTTGGGAAATCAGAGATTCATAAGACAGTCACGGAGGCAAGACTGGTCTTTGAAAAAGCAAACATTGTATAGCAGCCTCTCTGGCTGACAGGAGAAAGGTAGGGAGGTAAGCAAGGGATCACACAATACTGATGAAAAAGAACTGTCCCAGAATTAAAAATGGCCACTAACCAGGCAGAATATCTAGAGAGAAGGGAGTATAGGGAGGGAAGCAGCCAGAGGCAAAATCCTTTCCCTGCTGTAGGTATTGAAGACTCAGGGAAACACAGCCTAGCACATGGGCTGCAGCAACTGTCCACACCCTGGGAGAAGCTGGTGGTTTGATCTCGTTTTTATGTACCTGCCTCACAAGAAAAAACGACGGTCTTATATACCAGAGGATTCATGAGAGTAGCATTGTGATTTAATGCTGTGTGTATTTATTAAACTATAACATTGTTCCAAAGCAAATATATATATGTTAGTTTCCCAATTCACAAGTTAGATTCACTTCCCAGTGAAATCTGTGATATTCAATGTGGTCATAGATTCAAGGTCTAGAAGCCAGAGCTCAAAGATGCTTTGAAGTGCAACTCTTTGATGGGAAAATTAAAATTAAACTGGCTTGCTTAAGGCCATAGAGCCAGGACTAGGCCCAGCAGCTCCTCGGTCCTAGCTCATTCCTTATGTCGCCTCCTTCCCATCCTTTCTGTGAACCTGCTCCTGTGAAAGCTATTTCCAAGTGCTTTTCCTCCCCAACCCCACACACTGTGTGATACTCACTGCCTGATGAGTAACTAGGTGTTCTTTCTGCAGGTGCAAAGTTCCCCATTAAGTGGACAGCCCCCGAAGCAGCCCTGTACGGCAGGTTCACAATCAAGTCTGATGTGTGGTCTTTCGGAATCTTACTCACAGAGCTGGTCACCAAAGGAAGAGTGCCCTACCCAGGTAAGCAGGACCCAGCAGAAATGGGCCTCTGATTGGATGTTCTCTCAACACAGTTTGGGAAAACCTCACCCCATGTGCCTTCTAAGCCTCATCCTCAGCTTTCTGCCTGAGCGTGAGTTTGAAGAACATGGGCAGGTATTTGGCCAGAGAAAAGAAGAACTGGGAGCCACTGCAGTATGTAGACAAAGAGCCATGGTGAATTGTGTGCCAGGACTAATGTCATTAGCAGCTGGCGTGAGTACTTCAGTCCCCCCAGTCCAAGCAGTCTCGTCTGCCTGAGTAGAGTTTGCAGACTTCTGGGAAAGAGAAAAGCCCCCACTGCTTTTTGATTACTCTGTAGCACTGACCCATGGAGTGAAGCTGGCAGGCAGATGCCAGGACCTGTTCTCTCTTGCAGGCCCCACTCCAGATGGCCAGAGAGAGCAGAGGCACATGCGAAACACAATCTAGAGGCCACTCACTGCCCATTTCTGAACAGTCAAAATATGCTATGCAAAAGCAAGTATAATGTAAAGAAACTAAGATTCTAAGGCCCTGGAATTTTTCTGAGGATCAGATTCATGGTCTCCAAAGAAACCACAGGTTTAGGTTATTCACGCTTAAATTCATTAATTTAGACAGATGGTGACGTAAAGGACACTCGTGCCATTTCACCTCCACGCTTTAGTGGTTATAGTGCAGGGACGATGTGCTTTCTGAAATGTTAAGGACATATTTTCCAGTTACTGCTGAGAGAAGAAAGAGCGCAGCTCCCCCACATTCTCTGCCTAAGAAAGGAGCTTAAAAAAAAAAAGGCAGTGATAGAAACGATAGTGGAGATTAAAGAGGAATTGAGGTCTCTTGCAAATCCTGGATTTGTAATGGAATCTTTTCAGTCAGAGGAGCCCGTGAATGCAGATTAATTTGTGATCCCTTTGTTCATTTTTTATTGTTTCTGGTCATCTTCAGAAAATAGAGAAGGAAAGAGGTTCTCTTTCTGGGTTGGTGTAGCCTTGAATCTCGTAGAAGAGCCAGGCTGGCACAGAGTCAAAACTGACAAATTCCCTTTTTCTGAAGCACCAGCACTGGGTGTTTAGAGATGCAGGTGGAAGTCAGCTTTATTGATGCCGCAGCAGCGGCTGCTTCCCCGCGTGCACGAGTGGGAGTAGCCAGCCAGCTGGGAAGAAAGGGCCACCCTGGAGGGGCCTGGAGCACGGCATGGGCGCCTTTGAGTTGCCTCTCAAGAGGAAATGTGCAGGTCTTGGGATTTTGCAGATGTGAAGGGACCTCTTTTTTTTTTTTTAATTGTTGAATTTTGCACTAATTTCTCCCTGAGTTCCCAGGTTTTATAATCACCCAGTGTGTTCAGTGCAGTTGGGAGGAAAAGGTTAATTTTGTTTTGCATTTCTGCGAAGCCTTTCCTTCCAGTGCTACAAGCTGCTTTTTGTTTCTCAGGGTGACACACAGAAGCCGAGACAAAGGGGTGGGGGCAGGGCCTCCAAGAAGGGAGGCAGGTGTGTGCTTCTGAGGGGGAGGCTCTTTATCAAGTTTGGGTTTAACATAAAGGAAATGGCCTTGTCTGACAGCTCAGACTAGGGTTCGTTAATTCAGCATAACGTCAGTAAACTTAAACTGTGCCAGGCATTTTGCTCTGCCTGGGAAATAAGTACAAATAAGACATTCATATTCCCAGCCAACATTGACTAGAAGCTTCCTGCAGCTGGGCACTGTTTTAGGTGCTGCAGGCAAAGCAGTGAGCAAACAAATCAGTGTAGCCCCTGCACTCACAGGGCTTACAGTCGGAAAGATAAAATATGCATCACATCCAGGAAGAAATCAGCCTTTTCTGTTACTGATTTATTATTAGAGGAAATCATCCTCAAGGGATGGATTACTTGAATGTACCCACTGTGGGGCCTGAACCTTAGTTCTAAAAATGGAGCAGGGGTGCCTGGCCCAGGTGTCTACATACAGCAGGTACTGAAAGGGGCCTCTCACTCGCCACCCTCTGAAGATGGCAGAGGAGCTCAAAATGAGAACCGAGTCCACTTTATTACGCACAGTTACAGACGCTGAGCAACTGCTGACGTGCAGGGGGCTTTGATGGCCACTCCAGTTCTGTAAGGGTGGCAGAGAGAAGAGGGAGCTGTGTCTGGGGGGCTTCATGGAAAAGAAGGCAAGTAGGGCTCCCTCCTCAAGTTAAGGAAGGAAAAACGTCCCAGATGAGGGCGGGCACGTGGGAAGGCGCCAAGGTTCCAGGTGGATGGTGCCAGTTTGGGGGCTGCAGGATAATGAGTCTGAGAAGAGGCCGTGAGCTGAAGCCTGCAGGGGCAGCTGGGAAGGCTGGCCAGAGCCCATCCGGAGGGCCACATGCACTGCCCCTGGGAGACCCAGGGGCCCGGCTGGTTGGCAGTGGTGGCCAGGGAACTGTGTCAGCAGGGGAGTGACATAAGCTATCCCTCACCACAGAAAATTGTCCCCAAGCCTGTTCCTCGCCATGGGTGCTTCTTGTTTTTGTTTTTTAACATAGCTATAATCATATTTAATTGGACTTCTGAACCTCACAGTAAACTCTTCTTCAGGGAGAGGCTTTTACAGAAGGGTTCCAATTACAGGATTATTACCTTAATGAAGGATAACAATTCTTAAGGAACAGACAGTTTCATTAAGATTCATCCAAGTGTCACTGTGGAAGGAAGGCCGTTCCCCTGCGCCTTCCTGCTGCCGTTGGCGTGGCCACAGCAGCCAGTGCATGCTGCTGACGGGTGCTTCGCAGCAGCGAGTCCTTCTGCCTGCCAGCTTGGTGCCCACGCCCCTGTCCATCAGGACTTCCTTTCTGACCTCTCTCCACTCAGTAGCTTCGCAGTTGGCTAGAGTATATTTTCAAGTCGTTTTTTTTTTCCAAGAACAGTTGGTGGTGGTACATTTTCTGAGTTCTTTCATACCTGAAAATGGCCTCGTGTTGCCTTCACACAGAGAAAAGGTACTTTGTCTGGTAGGTGAGGATGGAGGTCAAGGGAGGAGGCGGTGACGTATAAGTGGGTTTTACAAAGCTTTCCGGGCATTCTCGCCCAGCATGAAAGAAGGTCCAGAGTAAGAATCAGAGGAGGAACTTAGAATGTAATATGTGAAGTGTGAGTGAATGAGGGCAAAAGGGATAAGTAGACAATAAAACATTGGATTGCTTGGTTAGTTAGCAAGTTTTATAAAAGGAATGGATTAGAAGGGAAGAAGGACAAGTTCAAATTGAATCAGAGCCTTAAACCCAAAGAAAAAATACTGAAACGTGACACTGAGATGAACAGGGAGGAGTCACATCACCCTACCAGACAAGAAGGTTGCTGTCGGGATGCGTGAGAAGAACAGCTCCGTTTTACAAATTCCCTGTAGCAGCCTGACCTGAATGCATTCTCAGCACAGCAGTCCAGCTTGCTTTTCTGTAAGCCAAGGTGCACAGCCATTCTTTGCACTGAGGTTGGAGCTGATTTGTACTGATGGATTGTGGTGTATGAGAAATGAAACACACCAAAAAAGCAATTTTGTGGTGCTGATGCATAAAATCAGCATTATGCATTTTAACCTGTCATTTCACCTACAAGTTTTTCTTCTCCTCTTTGCCCCTACTGCCACTGCCCCCTGTCAGGCTGTCACCTACTCGTGCAGTGATGTCTTCGTCGGACATCCTGCTTTCAGCCTCCCCACTTCCCCTGCCCCCACTACCTCCGCCCCCACCAACATTCTGTCATTGCCACCACCAGTTATTATCCTAGAAAACACAGACTCAGCTATCCTACTTGCCTAGTTAAAAACACCCACAGCTTCCCTTAACCTTCTAAATAAACCCCAGAAGCCTTAGTTTTGCATAGTCCTCCTTAATAACCCTTTCTGCAGTCATTCCACAAATATTTATTGAGCACCCACAATATGCTAAGTACTGTCAGGCACCAAGAGTACAGCATGAACCAGTGGACAAAAACTCCTGCCCTCATGAACTTTTACTCTTCTCAGAAGAGACAGATAATAAGTGTAAATAAGCCTAATATGTTCAGTGTTGGCTAATGGTAATAGACATGGAGAAAAATAAGGAAGAGGATAGAGAGTGTCGGGAAAGGGTAGCAAGGAGGACCTCACTGGGAAGGTGATATTTGAGAAAAGACCTGAAGGAAGCAAGGTGCAGGCCAGGCAAATATTAGTGGGAGAAGCCTTCCTTCGAGATCTTTGAGCACAAAGGCCCTGAAGAGCTGCAAGGTGACAGGTGTGGCTGGAGCAGAGGGAGCAAGGGGTATGAAAGGCCTCAGGTCAGATCAGATAGAGCTTCCCGGGTCATTGTTAGGACTTTTACTTTTAGTGATATGGGAGTCCTTGAGGGGCTTTGAGTGGGAGAGTGACAAGACCTGACTTAGGATTTTCTCTTGCCACACCCTCACCCTTCATACCAAGAGATTTCTCTTGCATATGCTGATCTCTCTCCTCAGCCTTACTGTCTGCCTCAAAACCCTTCTAGGCCCAACACAGTCACCTCCTTTAGAGGTAGCCTTCTCCATGTCCAGATTGAATGGGTTGTCCCTTCTGCTTGCTTCCATGATGCCCTGTACACTCTTTTGAAGCCTCTGTGCGTGTGTATTTTCCAGTATCTCTGAACAATTAGAGGGAAAGGGAGCTCCTGTTATGTGCTCCCCATACCCAGCACACTGTCTGCCCCACAGTGGACTCAACAAGTATGTATAAGTGTGCGGGCGGGTGGATGAGTGGATGGATAGATGGGACGGGGAAAAAGTGGATCATGCCTGTGAGGTTTTTGAAACAAGGTTGTTTAATTCAGCCTATTTCAACTCCATTTCATCATCTCCGCATATAAATACGGCACGTATTTTCCCAGGCATAAGACAGTCTCCGTCCTCAAAGTTGCTGGGGAAATTGACCCTGCAGTGGGTTCAGACACAACGTTCCAGCACCATTCTAGGCAGAACGTCCCAGCCATTCTGTGCCCTGGCTCTCAGCTGAACAGCGGCTTTGTGAGT